GTGTGTGTGTGTGTGTGTGTGTGTGTGTGTGTGTGTGTATATATATATATATATATATATGTGTGTGTGTGTGTGTGTGTGTATATATATATATAGTACATATGCGTGTATATGTGTTTGTTTGAGGGAGTTTAAACGAGGGCCAGGGTAGGTGTATTGCACTTATATATATATATATACATATATGCACCTACCGTATGTATGTGTGCATTTCTTCTGTCTCAGAACGGATGTGTATGTGTCTATTTGCCTGTGTATGTAAGTCCGTGTGCACTTCTACATCTGCGCGGTGTGTCGGCGCCCATTCTTCGTTTATTAAATATAGAAATTGGAACGTGCTTGGCTGCTCGCAACAGAGGTTCAAATTTCTAACCACCAATCGGTGGGAACGCCGCACGTGGTGTGTATTGGGTCAGACTGAATAAATATCATATTTGTTATTGAACAGCTGATAAACTAAGGATATGGTCTTACATCTCTGTCTTCTTTTCCTCCCTCTCGCTCGCTCGCTCGACCCTGCTGCAGGGCATATACCGAGTCTCTGGCACACACACTGAGGTAACAGACCTACTCCAAATGTTCACCTACGGAAAACCGAATCTACACAAGGTTGATGTACACTCGTGCACGGGGTATGTACGAATGTTCCCGGCATTTCAAAAATGCCATCACGTCGCGTTGCCCTTGAAATTTGCAGATACAGATATATGTGCATCTGCGCATTTTTATAGATACACAGAATATAGTCTCGAATTCAGGATCAGGGTTGGATCGGGGTATATTCAAAGGCCTATAATATCTTAGCTAGTTCACAAGATATGTCCATAACTTGTGTTTGAGCCTATACTGATATCAATCCAGAAATAATACATATATATATCCACATGTTTGTATCCCTTATACACACTGTCGAAGTATATGCTGTCATAGACATCGCTCCGTGCACTTATCGCTCGATATCGACTTTTCCTTACAGATTGCTGAAGAAATATTTTAGGGAAATAATACCAGAGCCTCTACTAACATACGAGCTCCATGACGATCTCATTCGGATTGTGGGTATGTATCGACTTCGTGACGACACTCTGTGCGGTACACAAGCCTTCGATGGAGTACTGAAGGCTTCTATCATATCCCAATACACATACACACATATATAT